TCCCAGGTTCAAGTGATTCTCCTGCCTCAGCCTCCCGAGTAGCTGGGACTACAGGCGTGTGCCACCATGCCCGGCTAATTTTTTGTATTTTTGATAGAGATGGGGTTTCACTATGTTAGCCAGGATGGTCTTGATCTCCTGACCTTGTGATCCGCCGGCCTCCGCCTCCCAAAGTGCTAGGATTACAGCCATGAGCCATCGCGCCCGGCCTCACCTCCTACCTTTGTGGCCTCTCTTCTCTGTCTCTGAGGTGTTGGGGGTCCTCAGGGCTCAGTCTTGTTGTCCATTCTGCTCTAGGGAGACTTCACCCTCGCTCCCAGCTTCAGAGACTCTCTGCCGCACAATACACCGATGCTTGCTGGGCTGTTTTTGTCTTTAGCCCATAACATGCTTCTAGGTCCCTATCCTGGGATCCAGCACCGTCAGACTGAATATATCCCAAACTTGCCTCTCTACCTTCCCATCGTATCTGCTCCTCTTCCAGTGCCTGGACTTGAGTCTCGTTCTCCACTGCCTGGACCACGCCCATCCTCCTCTGAGGCCTCCCCACCCTCCGTCTGCCCCTCTGGTCCGCCTTCTCACCATCCCCCAAGTGACATTCCAGACACACGGATCTGTCCGAGACCCTCCCCTGCTGGCATGTGAAGCCTTTTACAGTTCCACGTCTTCCGATCCCAAACTTTCCTCCCAGTCTCACGGAAACGCTAAATCATCCCTGCGTGGGAGGCTTCTGTGAGTCGGAACCCAGCTTTGCAAGGTTCAGCTCCAAGACTGCTTCCTCCAGGGAGCCTTCCCTCCCTCCCCACAGGTAAGTGCTCCTCCCGTTTCTCATTCCACCAGGGCCTGATCACACCCTGTTGGCAGTGTCAGAGCCCGGTTTTGTCTCCCACCATCCCTCCTAGAACTGGTGGCAGGGACAGATGAATGGATGAATGAATGAATGGGAAGTGAGAATTCTACTACTGGACCATCAATGCAGACTAGACCTCTGAATGAGTGAGGAGTGAGAGAGTGAGTGATAGAAAGTGGACTAGAGGCAGGGAGAGGGATAGGCCGAAACTGGGAGAAACCCCAGGCCAAGCCCCCGAGGTCCCCGCTCCAGCCCTAAAAGATGCGCGCGACAAGCCCTTGGGCCAGGAGGGAAAAAAAAAAAAAAAAAAAAAGCGGGCCGGGATTGGCTCAGGCTGGGGGAGGCGGGTCTAGGAGAGACACGAGTCTCTATTGGCTCGCTAGCCAGGACTCTGCCCAATCGACGCGATCGCCTTCTCCAGAAGACCCCGCCTCCCTCCCGCCTGCAGCCGCGCAGGCGGAAGAAGGCGCCTTTCCGTCGTCCTAGCAACCGTCAGCGGAACCCCGTCGCCAGGGCAACTGACCCAGGCCTCCCGTCAGCCTTTGCCTGGGCCCCTCCGGTCACCCGGACAACCGCTACCCGTTCCGGTCAACCATCAACCCGTCCCCCGTCACCCCGGCAACCGTCGCTGGACCCACCGCCCCCTGGACGCCGTCCTGGTCCTGTCCACAGGCCTCCTCGCCCCAAACCTCCGCCGCGAGCTCCGATGTCCTGGGGCCCCACGTCTCAGTGGCTCCCTCCTCCTTCTGCCCGTCTTCTCGCCTCCCCGGGGCGGGGGGCCTTGCTCCCACCCCGGCAGGGGGGCCCCGGGTTGGGCCAGGCCCTGGGGTCCCTGCTTGGTCGGGACAGTGGGACCGCCCTGTGCTGTGGCCGCGCGCAGCCCCCCGCAGGCCTCGGCGCTCGCACTCTTGCGTGGGACTGTCCAATCGCCACAGGGAGCTCTTCAAAATGCAAGCCATGTCCCTCCCCTGCTGAAAACCCTCCCCTGCCTCCCCTTGAGAATCGAATCCAAGCTCCTCGCAGCCCCTGGCGGTCTGGCTATGTGGCCTCTTCTCTGAAGCCTCCTGGCTCACTCTGCCTTAGCAAGCCCCTGGCCTGCGTGTTGTGACTCCAATGACCCAAGCTTCTTCCCGCCTGGGACCTTCCTAGTCACTACTTCCCACTTCCCAAAAAAGTGCATCCCAAGACGGGCACGGTGGCTCATGCCTGCAATCCCGGCACTTTGGGAGGCCGAGGTGGGAGGATCACTTGAGCCAAGGAGTTTGAGACCACCCTGTGCAGCATAGTAAGACATCTGTCTCTATAAAAAATTTTTGGAAAGCCGAGGCAGGTGGATTGCTTGAGGTCAGGCGTTCGAGATCAGCCTGGCCAACATGGCGAAACCCCGTCTCTACTAAAATTACAAAAATTAGCCAGGTGTGGTGGCATGTGCCTGTAATTGTAGCTACTGGGGAGGCTGAGGCAGGAGAATCGCTTGAACCCAGGAGGTGGAGGTTGCAGTGAGCTGAGATCATGCCGCTACACTCCAGTCTGGGCAACAGAGCAAGCCTCCATTCTCAAAAAATAAATAAATAAATAAATAAATAAATAATAAAAATTAGCCTGGCACGGTGGCATGCCCCTATAGTCCCAGCTACTCCGGAAGCTGAAGCAGGAGGATTGATTGAGCCCAGGAGGTGTAGGCTGCTGTGAGCTAAGATCACACCACTACATTCCAGCCTGGGCAACACAATGAGACCCTGTCTCAAAACAACAATAAATAAGTGCATCCCCCAGCTAGGGTCCCACCTGCTGGTCTTCAGTGTAGCCTTCCCTGAGTCCTGTCAGCTCTCTCCTCCTTAAACTCTTTCCGGCTTACACTCTATCACTAGGACCTATAACACCGCCTGGTATCTATGTTGAGTAAAATGATGTTGTGCGGGCGCAGTGGCTCACGCCTGTAGTCCCAGCACTTTGGGAGGCCAAGGTAGGCGGATCATGAGGTCAGGAATTCGAGAGCAGCCTGGACAACATGGTGAAACCCCATCTCCGCTAAAAATACAAAAATTAGCTGGGTGTGGTGGCAGGCGCCTGTAATCCCAGCTGCTCAGGAGGTAGAAACAGGAGAATTGCTTGAGCCCGGGAGGCGGTTGCAGTGAGCCGAGATCGCACCATTGCACTCCAGCCTGGGCAACAGAGCAAGACTCCATCTCACACACATCACACATCACACACACACACACACACACACACACACACACACACACACAGGATGTTGTGCCGGGGATAAGGGAGGCGGATGACCAGCAGGCAGGCCCATCTCAGAGACAGGAGAATGTATTTCTCAGGGACCCTCAGTCCTCATGGTACAGGTGATGATGGTAATGTCCCCCAAAAGCCAGGCACAAGCCAGGGAGGTACAAACTGATGCTATGGTCAGCCTGGGGCTGAGTGGCACACCCTCCACATGTAACCCCCACCCCAGAGGGCTCCAGAGTCAGCGGAAACTGTGGCTAATTTGGAGCAGAAGTTTCCAGGAGCTGGAGAGGCAGGCCTCAGATCCCAGATGGCCGTTCTGGGAGCTGGTCCCTTCCTGCCCTGAATCCAGAATCTCACTTGTCCTAACAGAGACAAGAGCTGTTTTCCCAGGGATCTGAGGCAGGCCAGCCCAGGCCAGGGCAAGAGAACTTGACCTGACCAAGCCTGGGGTCATGACGGGCGTGTGAGGGAAAGGGCTTGCGGGAGCTCTCCTGGGACTGGCTGGAGAGGAATCTGCACACCCATCTGCCTGCTCATGAGGGTCTGCCCTTGGGGTGGTTGCCAGGGGCCAGGCAGGGAGGCCCCCTGCTCTTTTTGCTCTTTTTTTTTTTTTTTTTTTTTTTGAGACGGAGTCTCCCTCTGTTGCCAGGCTGAAGTGCAGTGGCGCGATCTCGGCTCACTGCAAGCTCTGCCTTCCAGATTCACACCATTCTCCTGCCTCAGCCTCCTGAGTAGCTGGGACTACAGGCACCCGCCACCACGCCTGGCTAATTTTTTGTATTTTTAGTAGAGACAGCGTTTCACCATGTTAGCCAGGATGGTCTCGATCTCCTGACTTCGTGATCCGCCCACCTCGGCCTCCCAAAGTGCTGGGATTACAGGTTTGAGCCACTGCGGCTGGCCTTGACCCCTGCTCCTAAGCTAGGATTACCCTCATCAGCGCTGCCACCCAGAACTTTCTTCACTGATGTGGCAATCGAGCACGTGAAATACAGCTGGTGTGGACAGGCACAGTGGCTCACGCCTGTAATCCCAGCACTGTGGGAGGCCAAGGTGGGCAGATCACTTGAGATCAGCAATTCGAGACCAGCCTGCCCAACATGGTGAAACCCCATCTCTACTGAAAATACAAAAATTAGTCAGGTTTGGTGGCGGGCACATTGTAATCCCAGCTACTCGGGAGGCTGAGGCACAAGAATCGCTGGAACCCGGGAGGTGGAGGCTGCAGTGAGCCGAGACTGCATCCATTGCACTCCATCCAGCCTGGGCAACAGAGCAAGACTCTGTCTCAAGGAAAAAAAAAAAAAAAAAGAAATACAGCTGGTGTGACTGAGTACTGCATTTTCATTGTATTTCATTTCAATTAACATACATTTAACTTGAAGTAGCCAAATGCGGTCAGCAGTATCATATTTAGAGTAGCACTGAGCTGAAGACCCAGGCAGGAGGTGGAAGGTGGGGACAGGAAGGTCAGGGTTTAAGGTTTGTGCAGCTATGGCAGAGAACCGACTTTGGCAAAGAGCAGAGTGAGGCCCCTTGGCATCTGGCTCCACTGGAGGAGAGGTATACCCAGTTCCCAGGGTCAAAGTGCTTGTTACACATGCATGCATCCATGCCTGTGAGTACAGGGGTTAGTGTGTCCCAAGGCACCCATAGGTGCACCTGTGTGAGATCCAGGAGTCCCATACGTATGAGCGATTCAAGAGTCCACCCATGTATGGACATTGTATGGACTCCCAGGCACAGGCAGATATGGGTGTTCCTTCCTGAGTATCCATGCCTCCTGGGCAGGCCAGCAAGGGCCACTAGTCCAGCAGGTCTTGCAAGAAGGCCCACATGTACTGGTGCATCTCCTGGGGGTTGCTCTGTGGGATCCAATGCCCCATGCCTGGCAGGATGTGGGCCTCCAAGCGGCCTGGCACAAAGCGGCTGCTGATGGCTTCCACCAGCCCCTGCTCCAAGTAAGTGTCCTTCTCCCCCCACAGCAGCAATGTGGGTGTGGCCAGCTCCTGGGGTTCCAAGGGGAAGTTCCTGTGGCCAGGACAGACAGGCAGACAGACAGGCAGAAGGATGGCTGCCTCCCACCCCCGCCCAGCCCCTGCAAATCTCCTGCGTTCATGCTTGGCATCTGGTCTTACCTGAAGAGGTTTCGGTAGTAGTTAAGGGGCCCAGTGAGGCCACCAGGCTGAGAGAAGTTATAAAGGAAGGCCTCGAGCTCGTTGGGGGTCAAGCGTGGGATGCCTGTCTTGTGGTGGGTGAGGGCGGTCTTCAGAATCTAGGTACACAGCAGGACTCTGGCTTCGGTGCCCAGTCTGCCCAGCCCTGACCTGCTTCCCTCCTCCCTTCAACCGGTACCCTCTGTACCTGGAAGTCAGACATAGACAGCAGCTTCTCGGGCAGCCAGGGCAGCTGGAACAGGAACATGTAGTGGGAACGGAAGAACTGGCTGATGTGGTGCAGGGAATAGTCTGGGATGGAAAGGTTAGGGGAGAGATGTAAGGCCTGCCCCTGGGATGGCCCCACACACCTGCACCCCTACACACACCCAGGTCAGGCACACAAGCCTCAGGAATGCCACTGCTGCCTGCCTGGGTCTGTGAAGGTACCAGACACCCCTCCTGGCATGGGCACCAGCTACATTCCCTCCTGCCATGTTTCACTATCCACAGGATGGGGGCATCTCCTGGGAAACCCCATATCCACTGGTGTGCTTCCCCTGCCCAGGCCAGGGTGCGTTTCTTCTGCTTTATTCAGCTAACACTTATTGAGCAACTACTGCATGCCAGGCCTTGTTCTAGATACAGCAGTGAATGAGACAGACAAAACTCCCTGTTCATCCTAAGCAACTTAAGGAGGCCCCTGTATCTACAAAAAAAAAAAATATATATATATATGTGTGTGTGTGTGTGTGTGTATATATATGTATGTATATATATATAGGCCAGGTGCGGTGACTCACGCCTGTAATCCCAGCACTTTGGGAGGTCAAGGCGGATAGATCTCTTGAGGTCAGGAGTTAGACACTAACCTGGGCAACACAATGAAACCCCATCGCCACTAAAAATACAAAAATTAGCTGGGCATGGTGGCGTGTGTCTGTAGTCCCCGCTATTCTGGAGGCTAAGGAAGGAGAGTCACTTGAACCCAGGAGGTAGAAGTTGCTAGGCGTGGTGGCTCACTCCTGTAATCCCAGCACTTTGGGAGGCCGAGGCCAGCAGATCGCTTGAGCCTGGGAGTTCGAGACCAGCCTGGCCAACATGGTGAAATCCTGTCTCTACTAAAAACACAAAATAATTAGCCGGGTATGGTGGCACACGTCTGTAGTTTCAGCTACTGAGGAGGCTGAGGCAAGAGAATCACTTGAACCTGAGAGGCGGAGGTTGCCGTGAGTGGAGGTTGCCGTGAGCTGACATTGCGCCACTGCACTGCACAGAGCGAGACT